AAGACATCTCGGGGCACTGGGGGGCTTTTGGGGTAGGAGGGGAATAGGGGGAGAGAGGGAGGGAAGGAAGGAGGTGGGGGTGAAAGAAGGGCGGATGGAATCTGAAGGAATCAGTGACATAACGTAAAAAAAAAAAAACGGAACAAAAACATAAAAAAATAACACAATCGGACGAGAAATTAAGAAAACAACAAAAAAACAACAAAGATAAAAAACACACACAACGAGAACTTAAGAAAGACAACAAAAGCAACAACACCAAACGCACAACCAAAAGACAGCCCACAACAGTACTCCCCCAAAGCGTGTACCTCGAACAGATGCATATATCATTTCAACATTGCATCAGATTTCCAGGTTTGAGCAGTTGGGATGAGAAATTTGATAGCGCATACCCAGCCCCATGTGTACGCGTGTAGGTACTGGCCATGTGCGTATATCTATGGCCGTAATTTCGAGGGCCTTCTGTAAACCCATATAAGGAAAGTCCGAGCTTCGAATAACTTGTACAGGTCTGTCTAGTTATGTCATCGGGACCATAAGGCTGATAATTTGCCGTATTAAACTTATGGATTGGTTTTAATGCCGATGTTCAGTGGGAATTTGTTTTGAATGTGATAATGTTTTTTTTTTTTTTTTTTTTTTTGAGTTAGGGGAGCGGGGTGGGGTGAGGTGGTGTGTATGTTTCTTTGTTTTTTGTGTTTTTTATGTAGGTGTTGTTGGGTTGGGGGGATTGGTGTGTGAGGTGGGACGCTGTACTATTTTTTCCGTCTTCTTTTCTGCGACTCAAATATTGGTTCATTCGTCGACGGTAACTCTATTAACCCATAAAAAAGAGGTGTAAGACATCACACTTTTTTTTTCTTGGTTCTCTCTCCCTCTCTCCTCTCTCTCTCCCCTTTACCCTCCTTCTGACACCCCCCCCCCCCCCCTATCCCAGCTAAACCCATGTTACGCTTTTCCTTCATCCTCCCCTCATCCCTCCTCACCCCCCCCACTCCTTTCATTCCTCCCCTCTCTCCCTCTCCCTCCTTCACCCCTTTGCCTCCTCCTTCCCTCCTTCCCACTCCAGCTGTTGGCTTGGGTGGTCCTTCACTCTAATGTACCTTTCCTCCCTCTTTTTACTTTTTTTATTCCTATTATTTTTTTATTTTGCCTTTTTTTTTTACTTTTTTTCCATCCAGCCTGCGAGCTCTTGAATAATTTAGCGATAAATTGGGGCTTAATACTGACATCTTGCGAGTGCAGATTGTCGTGAGATACAAATATTAAACAATAATTGCCCTTCAGAACGTGATGTCGTGTGTCCCATTACATCGTATTGCAGTTGTCATTAAGGACAATCATCAAAATCTTAAAATGTTCCATAATTATCTGAAAGAGGAAAAGAAGAAGGAGAGAGAGAGAGAGAGAGAGGAGAGAGAGAGAGAGAGAGAGAGAGAGAGAGAGAGAGAGAGAGAGAGAGAGAGAGAGAGAGAGAGAGAGAGAGAGAGAAGAGAAGAGGAGAGAGAGAGAGAGAGAGAGAGAGAAAGAGAGAGAAGAAGAGAGAGAGATAGAGATAGAGATAGAGAGAAAGAGAAAGAGAGAGCGAAGGATATTTGAAAAGTGAAATACATTAAAGAAATAATAAATGCCGTAACCATGTTTTATGTGTTTATCGACTCTTTCCTTAAAGGGTTGGAACGCATGAATGGAAGATAGAGAATGGGAAGCAATGAGAAACCGAGAAGAATGGATATTCACAAACGAGAAGCATTTTTGGCTAACCTCTGGACACGGAACGAAAAAAGGAAGAAAAGAAAGGAAGAATGAAAGAAAGAAACGAAGAACAAGAAAAAGAAACACAAAAGCTACTAAAAAAAACAACACACAGAAGGAAAAAGATGATGAGAGAAAAGGGGAAAATAAGATGAATAGGAATAATAGTACGAGCGAGGCATAATGATAATAATAATGATAATGATAATAATAATAATAATAATAATAATATAATAATAATAATATCAATAATGATAATATAATCAATAATGATAATAATAATGATAATAACAGTAGGAAGAAAAGAGAAAAAGAAGAAGAATGAAGTACGAGTAGGAGAAAGAGGAACAAGAGGAGGAGGAGGAGGAGGAGGAGGAGGAGGAGGAGGAGGAGAAGAAGAAGAAGAAGAAGAAGAAGAAAGAAGAAGAAGAAGAGAAGAAGAAGAGGACGTAGGAGGAGGAAGTAAGCAAGAGGAGGAGGAGAAGAAGAAGAAGTAGGAGTAGGAAAAAGAGGAGAAGAAGAAGAAGAAGAGGACGTAGGAGGAGGAGGAGTAAGAGAGCGAGAGCGGAGGAGGCCGGCGCCGACGTCCGAGGGCGCGGGGCCAAGGGGCTCTCGGCCTTCGTGTCGGAGAGCCATCTGGGCGCCGCAGAGAGCCACGGAAGCTTCGTGACACTTGACACTAACGTAAGCTTATTAGTCGGGACCACCTCGCTCTAAAAGCCGACATTGGATTACGATAAGTCTATTTGTGCGACCGAAATAATCACACAAAACCCCGACATGCGCGAGCGACATTGCTTTTCCTGCTTTTTTTCTCTCTCTCAAATCACGACGGATATTCGTGTACGATAATAAAGAAAAAAAGAAGAGAGAGAAAAAAAACGGAAAATCAGATATATAAAGGTAATAATAATAATAATAATAATAAACGGAATAAATGCAATGGAAATCAGGACACGATAATGTAAATATAGAAAAAAAAATTCATGGCAACCCAAAGCCAAAAAGTTGATTTAGCAAAAAAAATCGTAATTAAGTCACGCCTATTACCCATACCCTTTCGTTATTTCCTAACTTCCTTTCGTATCTTTGTCGTCTACTTTTTTTACTGAATGGAATATTATCAAGAGCTTTAATCACGGTTTGAATTAATGATATATCTGCCATTGATGCCTATATCATTTCGAATCAATACACCCCATTAAAATCATACGTGAATGAAATGTATCCATGTGTATATATAATTAAGAACCAAGCCTATAGAAAAAAAGGGAAACAGATTATTAATGAAAATACGCACCCGCGCTTATACAACCCGTAAATATTCAATATCCGTGTCACATAATCGAATGGAAGGTATCGACGTAGCCGGTGGTCGTTATAGCCGGGCCCCTTATGCGCTTGTATCTAGTTACTGTACACCAGATGAGTTCTAAGGGGGGGGGAGGGGGAGGAGGTGGAGAGGGTCGAGAGGCAGAGTGGGCCAGCGGGGGGCAGGACGGTGGTCTCGGAGACGTCTTGGTCCGCGAGTATTTTTTTTTTTATTATTTTTTTTAATGGAGTCCAAATCTGGAGGTGGATTCTCTGTCTTCTTATCATCGTGTCTTCCTTCCTATCTTTCTTTCCCTATCCTTCCCGCCTCCCCACCCGCCCGTCCGCCCATCCGCCGCCGCCGCCGCCCGCCACAGCCCGCTCTGGCCCTTTGCCTCCGTAAAATGCGGGATTATGGTCTGAATGGCCCGCCTGAATGAGGGGCAAAATTAAATATGAATTAAAACGGAGAGTTGGTCCTGTTTTCAATAGCACTTTCCGCCAGGCTAAAATGGACTCAAAATGGATCGGAGGGAGGCGCGGGTCGGCCTATTGTCTGCCGTAATATAATCCGGAGTGAAGCGCCCGCCCGCCCGACATGAGGCGTCGTCGGCGCGGGACCAACAGGTGACCGATCCGCCGCCCGCCCGCCGCCCGCCCGGATTCGAAGCGGGATCCGAAACCTCTTGAACGAATCGCCAGGGAGAGTCAAGTTTGTATTTGCCTCTTTAGTTGTTTTTTTTTCTATGTCCTAATTTATCCCACTAACTTTCACTCATCCCGACTCGTTATTTATTGGCTGAAGGCACTAGCTCATTTACTTTCAATTTAAGAAGTGTCTGTCATTAAATGAATTCAGCGAACCTCAGAGGTAAAAAACAACAACTCGGGAGTCATATAAAATTGATTAAAAAAGCTATTAGCACCACCAATAATTAACTACAACAACAAAAATAAAATCAAACTCGACCGCCGAATGACCCCCCCCTCCAACCCCCCCCCCAAAAAAAAAAAATATATATATATATATAATTAACAACAACAACAACAGCCAAATACGGAAACGATCTGAAAGGCTCAGACGAGAGAGTCTCCATCGGCCGAAAGACTTCCAGCTTCCGACTGACTGACCATCATCCCGACAACCGGAGAATATTCGCGTGCGGCCGCTGTGAAAACACCTTTTTGTCCGGCGCTCGCGAGACCCAACGGACGCTCGGAGCCGGTAAAGATGCGGATAGGTTGACTTTATCCACGCTCATCCATCTATCTTTCTGTTTATCTTTCTATCCATTGGTGTATCTTTATCTAAATCTGACTGGTACTTGACATTATGCTCGCTAATCTGTATCTATCTTTCTGTTTATCTTTCTGTCCATCGGTGTATCTATATCTATCTCTGGAGATTGGTATGTGGACATTATGCTCGCTAATCTGTATCTATCTGTTTATCTTTCTATCCATCGGTGTATCTATATCTATATCTGGAGACTGGTATGTGGACATTATGCTCGCTAATCTGTATCTATCTTTCTGTTTATCTTTCTATCCATCGGTGTATCTATATCTATATCTGGAGATCGGTAAAGATACGAATATGTTTACATTATGTACGTTTATCTATACCTATTCTTCTGTCTGCCTTTCTATCCATCTCAGCGTCATTTCGGTATCATATCTATCTCGATGGAAAATGATCATCATCATCATCATCATCATCATCATCATATCATCATCATCATCATCATCACCATCATCATCATCATACTATTAATAATAACAATGATAACAATAATGATGATAATGATAATAACAACAACAACAACAATAATAATAACAATAACAATAATAATAATAACAACAATAATAGTAATCCTAATAATAATAATAATAATAATAACAACACGACGAAGAAGGCGTAGATTACTTACCTACACATGACCTCATGCGTGAGAAGGACTCGGCACATCTCTGGGTTCTTGTCTTGTCCTTCGTATACGATAGCCTAAGAAAGAGGAAGAGAGAGAGAGAGAAAGAAGAAATTAATCATTGCTCTTTGAATATTAGTTAATGCCACCTATTGTGTTAAAGATTGAAATTTTAATTAATAATCATGAGTTGATGGGTCGTATTAATGTTAACACAGAAACACGATTGATAAAGATAATATTAGTGATTATGATTAACTGATATGAAAAAGCTTATTATGTATGATGAAGGATGAATAGCAAATATGCTAAATTATATCATAAATATTTTTTTCATAGTATATATATATATATTGTAGTGTAGTACATTAAAAAAAATCCTCAGATATGAAACAACTAAGGTATAGCGACAATTCATAATACACATATCAAAATAAAACATTAATTGTAACCTCGTCAACTGATACAATTTATAAAAAAAGGAAATAATTAATGATACAATTAATAAAAAAAAAATATATACATATATATATATATATATATATATATATATATATATATATATATATATATACATATATATATATATATATATATATATATATATATATATATATATATATATATATATATATATATATATATATATATATATATATATATATATATATATATATATATATATATATATATATATATATATACCGTATATACATACATATAAAATATCCAATCACTCTAGAGTTATTTTGTTTTCTTTTTTTTTGGCGTGTAGTTAATTTTCGAAAGTAAAACACATGCAAAGTATTGATTTCGAAGAGCCATTGCCTGATGGATGTTCGGTTGCCAATCTGGAAAAATGAAAAGTATTCCAGAGGAGAAATTACTTTTTACCAGATGAAAAAATAAATAAATAAATAAACGGGTACGTCACATACTGTAGGTAGAGCGTGTACGTGTGTGTATGTGTGTGTAAGTGTGTTTGCGTGTGTGTGTATGTGTGTGTAAGTGTGTGTGTTTGCGTGTGTGTGTATGTGTGTGTGTGTGTGTGTGTGTGTATGTGTGTTGTGTGTTTGTTGTGTGTGTGTATGTGTGTGTAAGTGTGTTTCGTGTGTGTGTATGTGTGTAAGTGTGTTTGTGTATGTGTGTAAGTGTGTGTTATGTGTGTGTGTAGTGTGTGTGTGTGTAAGTGTGTTTGCATGTGTGTGTATGTGTGTAAGTGTTTGCATGTGTGTGTGTGTGTGTGTAGGTGTATTTTCGTGTAAGTGTGTTCGCATAAGTGTGTGTATGTAAGTGTATTTATGTGTAAGGGTGTTTGCATGTGTACGTGTCTGCATGTGTACGTCTGTATGAATTTGCATACCAATAAGGATGAGCGTTTGACCCTCAGGAAAAGAAGGAAAAGAAGAAGAGTATTTTACCACCAGTACGAAAAAAAACCCCTACCCCCCCCCTCCCAAAATCCCCCCCCTTCCCCTCCTCTCCCCTCCCCTCCCCTGCACCTTCTCTAGCACATATAAACACACAGGGGAAAAGATGGAGGAGAATGGGGGGGAGGGAGAGAAGAGAGGAGAGAAGGGAGCAGAGAGAGAGAGAGAGAGAGAGAGAGAGAGAGAGAGAGAGAGAGAGAGAGAAGAGAGAAGAGAGAGAGAGAGAGAGAGAGAGAGAGAGAGAGAGAAAGAAAGAAAGGAGAGAGAGAGGGAAGGAAGGCTAGAAACCATCCCTCTCTCTCCTCCCTCCCCTCCCCCCTTCCCCCTTCCCCTCCTCTCCCCTTCCCCCTTCCCCTCCTCTCCCTCCTCCCCCTTCCCTCCTCTCCCTCCCCCCTTCCTTTCTAGCCCCTGAAATCCCCCTCGATCCGACCTCAAGTCCCCTGCTGTCATCCGGCCTTGTAATAAAAATAAAGCAGCCCTGTAATACCCGATGTAATGCATCCTTAATCAAAACAGGGACCCTCCCCCCCTCCCCCCCCCCCCCTTCCCCTTGGCCTTCTCTACCCCCCCTGCCACTGGGGCCTCCCTACTCCCCCCCACCCCACCCCTCCCCCTGCCACTAGGCCCCGGATTAATCCCTATAAATCCCTCGCCACTAAAAAGTCAAGATTATGGTTAGCTTCCCTCGTTCCCTGCTCCCCCTCCCCTCGCTTTCCCCTCCTCCTCCTCTTCCTCATCTTCCCCTCCCTCTCTCCCCTTCCCTTTCCCTCCCCTCATCCCCGCCTTCTCTCCCTTTTACCCTTTCCCTACTTTCCCTCTCTCGCTCTCCCCTCTTCTTCCTCTTCCTTTTCCCTTCTTCACTATCCTTTCCCTCCCGTCTTTTTTCTATCCCTTCTCTATCTCTCCTCTTCCCTTTCCCTTCCCCTATCCTCCCTTTTACCCTTTTCTCCTCCTCCATCCTCTCCTCTTCTCCCCCCCTCCCCCCCTAATCTCCCCCACGACGACCACCAGCAGAGCCCGGAACAGGTGGTCTCGACCCCACTGAAGAAGAGAGGGAGAGAGAGAGAGAGAGAGAGAGAGAGAGAGAGAGAGAGAGAGAGAGAGAGAGAGAGAGAGAGAGAGAGAGAGAGAGAGAGAGAGAGAGAGAGAGAGAGAGAGAGAGAGAGAGAGAGACCATGGGATTTGGAAAGATTAGTAGATAAATAAGTAGGGAGAAAGATAGGTAAATAGATAGAATGATTGATAGATAGATAGCAAGCGAGCGAGAGAGAAAGCCAGATAGGCAGCGACAGTAGGACAGCAAACCAAATTCTTAATGAAAAAGAAGAAAGAAAGTCACTGAAGAAGAAAAAACTCAAATTAAAGAAAGAAAGGAAACGTAAAAAAAAAATGAAATCGAAAAAAAAAGGAAGAAGAAATTGCACACACACATACCTCCCTCCCCCTCCACCCCCCTACCCCCTCCCCCCTCACCCCTCCCATCCCCCCCTCCCCCTCCCCCCCCATCCTCGCCAACACGGCAGCGCGGGAGGAAGAGAGAAAATTTTTCCCCTCTCACTCCTGGCTTATTTCCCCTCAACTGTGGGCTTATTTTTCCCCTCTTGCGCGGCCGGGCTTAGTAGCTTCATTTTCCTTCTCGATTCGTGGGATTTTGGGTCGAATTTGGACTCATCCGATCGGGATAAATTTGATTATTAGATTTCTTTTTTTTCTCTCCCTCCCCCTCCCTCCCTCCCTGGGTGAGACACTCCTCCTCTCCTCCCTCCCCCTCTCTCTCCTCCTCCCTCCCCCTCTCCTCTCCCCTCTCCCCCCCCCCTACCCCTGTCCCTCGTCGCGAATCGGGGTAAATATTTCACTTTTTTCCCTCTTGAAGTTCTAGTTTTTTTTTTCTTTTGTATTTTTTTTCCTTCTTCTTGTGGATATCTATACCTACGTATGTATGCGTGTATTGTGTGTGTGTATGTATGTGTATGTGTGTATGTATGTGTGTACGTGTGAATATCTATATATCTATCTATCTATCTATTACCGAATGAACAATGAAAAAAAACTATCAACATCGCTACAAAAAACGATGAACGATGTAAACAAACAAACAAATCAATGAATGAATGAATAAGATGAATAGATAAATAGATAGATAAATAAGTGAATAATGAGGAAATAAATGAATAAATAAATAAATAAAGAAAGAAATAGATTAATGAATAAATGCACTTTAAAAAACGCCGACGCATCGGGGTGTATTTCACACTGATTGTAAGTGTGACACTGACGTAGCAGGTTTACTATATAGCCTCGGGGGGGGGGGGGTGAGGAGAGGGGGAGAAGGGAGGGGTGAGGGAGGGTGAGAGAGGGCGAAGAAGGGAAGGGGTGAGGGGGAGGGAAGAGGAGGGGAAGAGGAGGGGGTGAGAGGGGGAGGAGGGAGGGAGGTGAGAGGGGGAAGATTGGAGGGGGGGAAAGGGTGAGAAGGGGAGAAGAAGGGGGGAAGAGGGAGAGGGGAGAGAGGAGGATACTACGAAAGAAATCCCTTACCTTTGGGATGGGAGGGGAGGGGGGGGGGGGTAAGGAGGCGGAAGGGAGAAGAGGAGAGAAAAGGAGAAAACGAAAGAGAGGAGAAGAGAAGAAGAAAGGATAAAATTGAGAGAGAATTGAAGGCGAGACAGAAAAAAAGAGGTGAAAGAAGGAGAAAGAAAGAAGGATGTATGGATGGAAAGGGAGAAGGGAGAAGGGGAGAAGGGGGTTGGGGAGGGGGGGCGTGAGCCGTAAGGGACATGAAATTGATTAAGTACAGCTCTTGTACTATGTAAATGCCGGGTGGTGCTCGGAGGACAGAGATGTGAGGGGAAGGGAGAGAGGACAGGGAGGGCGAGGGGAAGGGAGGAGGGAGGGGAGGGTGAGGGACGTTGCACAGAGGACAGGGTAGGGTAGAGAGGAAGGATCACGGAGAGAGAGAGAGAGAGAGAGCGAGAGAGAGAGAGGAGAGAGAGAGGGGAGAGAGGGAGAGAGAGAGAGAGAGAGAGAGAGAGAGAGAGAGAGAGAGAGAGAGAGAGAGAGAGAGAGAGAGAGAGAGAGAGAGAGAGAGAAGAGAGAGAGAGAGAGAGAGAGAGAGACAGAGAAAGGAACTACAGAAAGGGAGATTTTAGAGCGAAATACGAAACGGATTAACAAAAGCGGTCGCCCATTAAAAAAAAAAAAAAAAAAACTCCAACCCCCCAAAAAAAAAAAAAAAACGAAAAACATAACAACGCAACCCGGATCCAAAGACCAAGACGAGTGACAAAGAAGAAAACACACGCGCGCGCGCACGGAGGATCATAATTCCGGGTCTCATTAGCGACGTCGGAGTCACCGAGTTTATCCGTGTCAATTATTCACCAGAAGATTTGCATTACACCTTCCCGTGACCCCGTAAGACGTCGATCCTCCTGCGAGGTCAGAGGTCAGGAGTGATCTCGCTGTTCTCCTTGGGGCTTCATAATGACTTGATGCAATTTAAATGGGACACAGAAAGCTAATGAGATTGCGCTCCCTTGAGATGGCGAGAAAGAAAGAAAGAGTGAGAGGGAGAGAGAGAGAGAGAGAGAGGAGGAGGAGGGAGAGAGGGAGGGAGGGAGAGAAGGGAGAGGGAGAGAGAGAGAGAGAGA